AGCCACTAAATAAGTGAAAGAAGGGGTTAAATATGAAATCTTGTATTGTTCAGACCCACGCATTGCAATAGCCCTCAGTAAAAGCATAGAAATAGTCATGGGGAGACCTATTGGAGGAAAAAGACGATTAGCAAAAGTCCAGATTCATCAGCCGAATGAGTAATTTGAGTTGGAGAAGAGCATTAGTGCCTGTACCAAGGATTCGATAGAAAGCAGAGAGCGCCGGTCCATTTAAAAGGGTCAGGCAGGCCTTAACTGTCTTGACAGAAAATGAAACCTGTAACCTTGTTTCTGAGTCAGGTGCCTTTTGTGAATTATACAGCCTCTTAAAGTATTGGCAGCTTGTCTCAGCACTGTGTATTTGTGGTCAGCACTGGACCTTCTGGTGTAGATGGGTGGAAGTCAGTTTGTATTTAGGGTTGTAAACATTTGCCTCCATTAAACCCCTCTTTATCCCTCTGTGAATAGCAAAATTCATGTGGCCTGCAAAATACCAGGCTTTTATTCTGGAGACAAAGATAACCAATGCATTTGCAAGTTCCAGTTCTGAGAAATTACTCTGATTTAAGGTTTTGACTTCGATCCTGTATCAGTCTCTTTGTTGCTCATGCCAGAGAGAGTTATTAATCCGATACTTTTCCTGCCGAGTTCAATGAGCATTTATTCACCTCTGTCATCAGCAGGAGCAGGGCTGGGCATGGTTTGTATGAGTATGTACTTTTCTCTGCGGGTTCCTCAGCCACGCTCATCACCACAATCTCTAGGCATCTCTGCTGCTTATTTGTCCCTCAAAAAAGGCGGCCTTGGACATGTGTCCCCCTGCTCTTACCTGTGTGGAAAGGACAGAGTTGGCCCATCTTGCACTTACACACCCTGGTAGGCATGCCACTTTCCCAAGACAAGTGGGAAAAGGTGCTTTTCTCTCCAAGGGGAATAAAATCTGCAAGAGAAAAAAATATATCAGCACATTTCACACACCACAGGGGAAGCAGAAGCAAAATGAATTCACTATTCAGGTTCCCCAGCCAGCAGTCTGGTAAACCCCTATTATTCAAGCACGGCACGAAAATAGTTCCCAACATTTTCTCACACTCTGGAGAATGTTTTTAACTGGGCCCTTTTCTGCCTTACTGGCCCCACACTTCTGTGCCCTACAAGCCTTACCTGGCGTTGCAAGATGAGATTGAGGCAGTTAGCTCAACTTTTGTGGCTAATTGCTTACTCAGACCAATTGATTTCCCACAAGAAACAAGGAAGGACTTTGAATCAGAAAACTGAATATCAGTTTATTATCCCTGCTGGAGGCAGGGACGTATTAATACAGCACAAACTGCATACCTGCAGAAGGCTTAGCTTTTGGACCTGAATTCTAGTTGTGATCCTGTGGTGAGAAGTTATTAAGAGAAATAGTCTCTCCTAAATGAGAAGCTAATTTAAATCCCCTCTTGCACTGAATACACAAAGAAAACTCTATGTACTGTCCAAGTTTTAAGGTACATTTCAGCAGAGAGTAGAACAAGCTCTGAAAATTTAAGCAAACAATATGCTATTTAAAAATACAGCTGCAAAATGTTTCACCTTTTTTTTTTTAAATAAAGCAAGCAAACTCCCAAGAATCAATGTGAGGTAAAAAAGAAAGACACATGGGGGACATCACAGGATGCCAGGAAGAGAAGCAGGGAGGCAGCAACATTTTCTGCTGTGGGGTGTGTTAGTCTGTTGAGTTGCTGTCCAGGGAAACAGTAATAACTCAGGCCTGGTGTCAAGCTAGGCTGGGCTAATACTAAATGGTGGTGCTGCTTTGATGGAGACACTTTTCTATCCCCACTGGGCCCCTCACTGGCAGCCTCAGCAAGAGGAGAAAAAATAAAAGGATAAATTCCCTTGCCCAGCACAAAGCACAGTCTTAGAGTCCATGCAGCAACCAGGTGCAGATAAGAGGCAAGGTCTCTGCCCTCTCTCTGCCCCAGCTGGTTCTCATCCAGAAGTTCCATGACCATCTTAGTGTGGTGTTGTCAACAAACTGCTGTGAGTCAGGGTATGTTAGCTTTAGCCCCTGACCTTGGAGGCAATGGGACACAGCTCATCCAGCCTTTACAGTGTCCCTGCTTGGGAGATGGAGAGCTCATGTCCTTTGCTATTAATTCGGCTATGCCTTTTGCTGCTATCAAATCTGGGTTTCTGCAGCTGTATGGTGGCCAGCCAGGCTGTTGCCCTAATTTTGCTTTTCCCCTTTGTATCCCATATGCAGAGAAGCAGAGGGAGCTGGCTCGGAAGGGCTCCCTGAAGAATGGCAACATGGGAAGCCCAGTTAATCAGCAGCCCAAGAAGAACAATGTGATGGCACGAACAAGGTAAGGGACTGGAAAAGCACTCAGCTGTGCTCTAAGCTGCAATTCCTAATGACCTTAGGATGGGCAAGGATGATGTTCATTGCTATTTGCCTACTACCAAATGTGCTGCAAGAGCAGTGATGGTCCTTCCTGGAGCTGGCAGGCCCAGACTCTCTGTGCTGTGTTGCATCCCATCCTCTGGGGAGACGCAGGGACAGCTGCAGGACTGGTGACAGTGCAGCCTGAAGGAGGCAGAGGCAGCCCAGCCTGGTCAAAATCAGTGGTTTGATATGGCTGTCTTGCATGTTCTGGGTAGCCTCATGTAACACACAATCCTGCCAGCAGGAGAGTGTACGATGCTGCTTCATGTAACACAAACTGGTTTAGAGCTTAGTTCTGCCTTGGCTGCTTTTATCCCAGTAGTTCCCCTGATCCTTTTTGATGATGACCCCTTCCCCATACTGACTGACTTAACAAAGGCTTGTGAATAATCCATCTCTGTGTGCTTTGCTATACACCTCCTCTGCACTTTAAACAGCATGGTCATACTTTGCTGGAGCTGCTTTGGCACATCTCTGTATGACAGTATCAGACAGTGCTACAAACCACTGTAAAAAAAGATGTTCTTGGCTGAATACTTTCTTTTAGAGTATTTCTATTTTTTCCATGCAAGCTTCAGTATACCAGTGTATCACTTACCTGCATTCAGGAGGAAGGAACCCCCCTGAGTCCACGGGATTGCACACTTTGCATGCTACTAGAAAGATGGCAGTTTTTAGTGGAGGACCTCACTTAGAATGACAGCAGAATCTGCATGAATGCTGGGTGTTTATTGATGAATGAGAAAGTTGCATGGATTACCATATATTAAGTAGAACAGGAGCTGCAGGTCAGAGCCTCTCTGTATGCAACACATCCGACAGATGAGGTTCCTTGTTCACATTAATTCCCAAAACCCACAATAGTAGTCATAAATCATGCCAGGACTTTGTCAAGTTTTATTTGTAAGCCCCTGTGATGTTGTTGGAATACACTGCATTGCTCACTGCTCTGTGTTTGGTTGTTGAGACCATATAAAGGAGCCGGGCCCTTAGCGGCAGCAAGAAATTCAGCAGATGCTCTCAGCTGGCTTTTCCATGCTTCTCCTTGTCTTCCAAATACAAGCTGGAAAAACTTGGTTTCTTTTGGCAATAGGCTGCATGCTAGCTTCCCAAGAGGAATGGTAGCAGATTTGCTGCTTGAGAAATTTAGAAACACTGAAATTAGTGGAGGAAGATAGTAGGGGAGAGAAGATGGGATGTACAGGTGCCTACCTGTAAAATTAGCGACTTCTGCTTGGAGAGGCTGCTGTTTCCAAGCTGATGATGGAAAGAAGAGTGATTTGGGTGGGGAAGGGTAGAGCAGTGACACCCATCGACAAAAGTTTTCGAACAGCCAGCTCAGTTTTATTCCATTTGTGGACACCTGAGCACCGTTCAGAGGACATATGGATGCCTCCACAGCCAAGCGAAGCCTGCTGGCAGTAGACTTGCTTTTCTTAGTTACTTTTCACACAGCTTTTAGAAGCATCCCTTGGGATCTGCAAAACAGAGGTTTGCAGCCATTGCTTTAATAGCAGATGTAGCCAAACTCCATTGTTCCCATATGGCTGGGAGGTGTCTGGCACAGGGTCTCGCTGGCCCATGTCTCTTCATCTCCCAGCTCCCTTGGCTTTCTGGAAACCAAGCAGCACCACAAGCACAGCCCTAGTAATACCTCAGGCTGGTTTGGTCTGTCTTGCCACAGACAGGGCAAGCCCAGGAAAGCGGAAATGCCACAAGCTTGTTCAAGCAGCTTCTTTTCACAAGATAATGGTTGCAGTACAATGGGAGATACTCCAGTGGGATACACTGCAAAATGTTCAGGTTATGGTAGTTCTTTAAGTCTGAACTGTTGGCTTCCTCTGGTCTCTGCAGGAGGAGAATAAGCTAAAGCCATTTCCACTTTTTTAACAGTTCTGCTCTTCTCCTCATCAAATATGTTTTCCTTTGTTCAGGCAAATCACATATTGCCTCCCCTAGTCTCTACTCTACCTCCTCCTCCTTCCCCAAGGCTTCTGTTCTTCTGTATTATCTGTATAAATTTCTGACATCCAGCCTCTAATACCAGGTTGCCTTCACTATTCAGTCTTCTCCTGGGGCAGGGGCACAGCCAGCCTTAGAGGTGAAAGGATCTGAATCCATAACATGCTCAATCTCCCTAAGAGCAAATAAAATATGAACAAGGTTGGGGTGATGCTGGCATACTCACTATGAGCACAGGCAGAGCCTTACAACACCATCCGCACTACTTCCGCACAGCCAGATATTGTAGCCCACTCTGAGGATAACCTAAACTCAGATTTTGTCATAACATATTTCATGTTAAGTGAGCAAAAACACCAAGACAAGAAGATCATACTAGGATACCTGCGGGTGAAAGCAGCTCTGACTGCAATCTGGCTTTGTTCCAAGGACAGTGGGAAGCAAAAATAAGGACAATCAGGATGCAAGGGAAAGATTTAGATCAGGGGCAAAGACATTATCACAGGTTTTGTCTGTTGCAGAAAAATTGAAGTTTTGTATTATTAAGAAAAAAGACATTTTTCAAGAAAAAGATGTAGTGATTTTTTTTTAATCAATTAAATAGCACCATATAGGGCTCTTCTAGATCCCCTGACAGTGCTTTGTTCACTCATTATATAGTAACAACCATCAGTGAGTATATATGGAGCACTGACTTGAAAACTGGAGAGTGAGCATGGAAGTCAGTACTTATGATATGTGTGTGAGCAAGCTGCTGCTGCCAGATCACAGCTTCAGTTTTAGTTCCAGACATCTTGCTTCTTGATTTCCTTCCTATATGCTTTAGGAGCAGCGTCTCAGTGCTATGGGAAGAGGTATTGAATTTTTCAAGTGGATCCCATTTTCTCCAGTTCCCTGGTGCTGCAGGTTGGAAATTCTGCATCAGTTTTAAAATTAATTTCTTTAATCTTGCATTTCAGTGAACACAATAAGAAAATACAACTAGTCGTGAGCCTATACATCTGCTTTGTGATACCATTTGATATATTTTACTCTCCCTGAGCCTGCAGGACTTTGTATTGCTAAAATTGTAATGGATTCCTGAAATTTTCTGAGCAGAAGCAGAACAACATTGCAGGTGGTTAGAGTGCAGTTGGAGCATGGATGAGATGGATTATCATCTTTAGATTTATATTTTCTAAACTCTTAGTGAAGCATTATTGTGCATCATTGTGTGTTGTTAAAGACCAGGTCTTCATTTGGGAGAAAACCTGACTTAACCCACTGAATTAGGAGATTTTTCATCACTCTTACTGTTCCTACCTGCTGAATGTAGAATCTTCTTCCATTTGCTTGGTTTGGTTGATCTTATTTTAAATATGAACCAAAGTCTTTGTGCAGTTTTGTGGATGAAAGAACTCTGTTGCGAACTGGATACCATTGAATTAATGTATTTTCCTTATCCTAGAAGCTCTGAAGCCTGTATTCCATTACACAAACTCTCTCAGGCAATTAAAGGTGAAAAGTCATCGTCAGCCTTTGTAATACTTCTGATTAAGTGAAAGTCATTATAAAATAATGGGATTTTAAAAGTGCTAGTCTGACTGGGCTCTTACGCTGCACCCACCAGCTCATATTTCTCATATTACTAAATTTAGGAGTGAGACCTCAAAAGTGCTGTGTTGTGGGGGCTGGGTAGGAACTCATGCAGAAAGACCAAATCCCTGATTTCTAATAGTAGAATAGTAGGAGCACCAAGCCTCTGCCTTCCCCTAGTCTCCTTATCCCATTTACTTATTGCTAGTGTCATGTACTCATTGCTAGGGAAAAAAAAAAGCAACACGAAAATGAGCAATCTGATACGACAAGCAGTGCTAGCTGAACAGGTTCACCAGAATGAAGTGTGGAGTGTCCCAACTGTTTTTTCTTCCAGGGTGGAGTGTGTTCCCAAGGCACGTCCAGTGTTCGTCCCTGTGAAACTGCTCTGAACCTACCCAGAGACAGCCTGCTTCCTCTGAATTGCACCCATTTAAATGTCTTCACTGATAAGGGAGGACTTGCAAGGAAGTGAAATGGGGAAAGCCTAACTATCATATGGCTTTGCTCTAGACTATGTGTGGTACTGAGCTTTACTGCGTGGTTAACGGACAACATTTAATTATTTCAGGCTCGTCGTTCCCAATAAGGGCTATTCGTCATTAGATCAGAGTCCAGATGAAAAGCCACTGGTAGCCCTGGATACGGACAGGTATGCAAAGTGGTAATAAGATGATATATATTACAGTGCAAGCAAGTTTTCATGCCAGAGTGCAGCACTGAAGCTAATTCCGCAGCACTGAAGCTAATGCCTGCTGAAACTGCTCTTGCAGGCCACTTGCACTCTTCCTTGCTGTGCCCTTCAGCATATGCCAGGGAGCTGGGGTTGTTTAGTCTGGAGAAAAAGAGACTGAGGGGAGACCTTATCGCTCTCTACAACTACCTGAAAGGAGGTTGTAGCGAGGCGGGGGTTGGTCTCTTCTCCCTAGTAACAAGCGATAGGACGAGAGGAAACAGCCTCAAGCTGCACCAGGGGAAGTTTAGGTTGGATATTAGGAAAAACTTCTTCACCAAAAGGGTAGTCAGGCATTGGAACAGGCTGCCCAGGGAAGTGGTTGAGTCTCCATCCCTGGAGGTATTTAAAAGATGGATAGATGTGGTGCTCGAGGACATGGTTTAGTGGTGGACTTGGCAGTGCTAGGTTAACGGTTGGACTCGATGATCTTAAAGGTCTTTTCCAACCTTAACGATTCTATGATTCTATGCTGTAATGAGTCTGTGTGTGTAAACAAGTAGGAAGAGACGTGAGTAAAGAGCACTTTGATGGAAAGGTCTGAGGGTCACAGATAAAAGTTGCTCTCCAGACTCCCTTGATGTAACTTCTCTGTGCCTAAAGTACAGCTTCACAGCACAAGAAAGATAGGGCTAACCAGGGAATAGAGGTGTCTCTAAGCATTGTTTCCTTCTTTGCTGTATCTTGTCCTTCCCTGCAGTGATGATGACTTTGACATGTCCAGATACCTCCTCGGCGGATACTCATCAGCTGAGGTGAGTTATGCTCTTTCCTGCCATCCTTGCCATGAATGCTAATAGTAGAGCAGCCAGAAACAACTTAGAGTGGCCTTGTGCTGCCAGAAACAGCTCCACAAGGAATTTACCAGTGGTGTAGACTCTGTGAGCCTGGAAGAGGCCATGGCAGAAACTGTCATGTTTCTTTCTTTCCATGGCACAGACACAGATCTGCCTGTCGGCTGTTTTAACAGATACCTTTGGCTTCACTCAAGCTTTTCCCAGTTCTACTCAGTCCTGCAGTGTTGGCCCATGTGGTACAAAAGCATCAACTTGTCTGTCACAGCAGCTCAGCAACCGTCTACTTGCCAAGGACACAAATAAAGGGTCTGAGGGTGTGCTGTGATTTCCAGTTCTTGTGGGGGTCAGGGTCACCCAGTGCGTGTTTACTTGGAGCACCAGAAATTCCAGGGAGGACTTGCAGATATGAACTCTTGCCCTTTCAAAGAGAAAAGGCAGTGAAGCTCAGGCTTGTTAATCCCTCTGCATTGTTTCTGAATATATTCCCAAGCTCTCTTGTGAATTAGTTGTTCAGACTCTGGCTACTACTTCTGCGGGATCTGATTTTACATTCAGGGTGCTGAGCAGCCATTCTGCACACAAGCTGCTGGGAACTCTTCCCCCTTGTATCCCTTCCTTGGGCAAAATACCTCTGAAACATGGAGAAACAGCCAAGAGCAGGGACCAGATCAAATGATCTGGGCCATCTCTGGGCCCTGATGAAGTGTTGTACATCCAGATCTGGCTAGACAGCACTTAAATACAAGATTACAAAAAGCCAAGATGCTTTACCACCTTTCAACTGCTATAGTGCCCCAGACTGAGAGGAGGGACTGCCCAGCTGCCAGTTGGTTTATTAACATTATTATTACATTACTTTAAATGAGGGCTTGTCTTCATGGAAAGATTATTCCAGAATAAAATAGTGTATCGATTTGCCACTCTGGAATATCTCGTTCTAGATACTCCTATTCTGGAAGAAGCTAGAACAGAAGGCAGCCCTCACCTGTAGTCAAAAACTGGGACTCTTTCATTGGTAGGGCAGCTGCTAATGAAGGGGAAATACATTCCAGAATTAGGGACCTCCTTCATCTTCCAGCCATCAGAAGTAAGAAGTCTCAAGTGTTTGACTGTTTGTCTCTTTGTCTGTAGCAGATCAACCAAGACTTGAACATCCAGCTGCTAAAGGATGGGTACCGGTTAGATGAGATCCCAGACGATGAGGACCTCGACCTAATCCCCCCTAAATCGGTCAACCCTACCTGCATGTGTTGCCAAGCCACCTCCTCCACCGCCTGTCACATCCAGTAGTGAGGCCGGCAGGCTGTGATCAGTGCTTTCCACTATAACTGTAAAACTTAACAGCCATTGCTTCCTCCTATGGTAGGACGTGCACCTCTTTGTGTTCATGGAGCCAGGAGAAACCAAAAAATTCATTTTATGATTGGTTGATAAGTTATTTTAAACTATGGTTAAACAAAAGAGAAGTTGCTCAAAGTGCCAGGCAGTGCCTGGCAGAACTGACTGGTCTGGAGAGCAAATGCAGGAGGGTCTAGAGATACCTCCTTGGTTTGTGTAGGCACTGGAGATGTTTTGTAAGGTGTCTGTTCCAGAATGGGAAGGGTCAGATGGGGCTGCAGTTACTCCTGCCCACCAAAACCAGTCCATCTACAAGATCAGGGGTGAGTCTGAGGTGTCAGGGGGTTTTACCTGTGGGAGGAGGTCAGTTCTTAATTCATTCACTAAACCTGATTCGTTTGCGTAACCAAAATTATACCATAACCGGGGCACAGGAATGGGAACGGAGCAGGGCATCCTTTCTTATGGCAAGGCTAGCCAGGACTAGCACGACACAATTCATTCACTTGTGAAGAGGACAAATAGGTGGCATTTCACTGTGAGTCAGTACTAGCTAGAGCTGTTGTGTCACATATCCAATGAAATCTATCCTTAGCTCCACATTAAATTATCACCAAACACATCAGATTCAATCTGCAATCCATCCATGCTCTTCAGGGATTCAGTCCTTTCCTGAGAATACCATACTTCTGAGTTCAGTCCAGTCATGTATAATGACTTCAGCCTATATTTCACTCCTGTGAGACCCATCTGCTTCCAAAAATCTTAAAGCTTGTTCAACTAAGAAACAATGAGTCCTGCACAAGACAGGACTAGAGTTGTGCAGTCTGAAGGTCAGTGCCAGAAAAGCTAGTTGAAGAAAGCACATTTTTACAGAGCTTGGCTGTTGATATTCTCTTGACACTGCGTCTCTTGGTGCCTGTGGGAGAGATTTGTTAACGCTGAAGGCATCTCTGTGGTGGTGTCAGACTTCAGGGGGGTTTTCAGCAACAGCAGAATTATGAACAGCTTCAGCTGAAAAAAAAAACATGAGAGGAAACTACTGTTTATCTCATCTCTGCCCACTTGTGAACCAGGCTTGGTCTTTGTTAGAGATGTCCCATGTCAGGAGCAATTGTGTTTATTTAGTGCTGGAATAGTTGGGAAACCTGGCGATACATTAGGTGACTGGACTGAATTGCCAGTTCACCAGCAGATTGTTCTGAATGCAAAATTATTTCTGGAATTAGGAAACATGTCCTCTCTCCAGCCAGTCTTACACTGCTGGCTTCAGTATACGCAGGACTCAGGTGACGGATGGGCTGGCATTTTTCTCGGAGATGAAATCTTTTGCCACAGGCATGACTGTGTGTTTTCCTGCTCTGCCAGGAAGAAGGACCACCTGCTTTGCGTCAGTGCTTGCTTTAGAGCCTGGGGAAAGGAGAAAGCAAGGGCAATTCTGAGCTTCCCATTAGAACTCCCCAAAGTTGCAAGACAGAGCCTGAGCTCCATCCTGAAGGACAGATCCCCCATCTGAAATCTTCACGTAGTGAGCTGAGTCTTTAAGAAGTCCTCTTCGTGATTAGGAGGACACTTATTTAACATTGTGGGTTTTCACTCTGTGCAGTGCAAGGCACAGTGTCATTCACAGCATGAGCAAAGGAGCAGGCACACAGGACTCCTGGGCTTTATTATTCATTAGCTGGCTGTGTGCAACCGTTAAAGCTGTGTTTTCCCCCCCTCCCTAAAACAGGGCACTGCCACCCTGGCTCCAGGCCACAGAAAGAGGACTGAGTGGTGCTGTTTACTGAGCATCCCTGCCTCCTCATGCAGAAGTGCTGGTTAACTTGCCAACTCCTCTAGGAAGAGAGTGTTTCTCAATTGAATTCCTCTCCCCTTCTCATCGCCTGGTAATGCTGAGAGGGAATATTTCCAAAATGTTTCTAAAGAAGCACAAAGCATCAGGTCCCCAAGTCTTTGCTTCTTCCTTTGTGTGCCTGTTTTCCTCTCCAGTGCTAGCTCAGGTGCGAGGTTAGCAACTTGTCTGGAGGGGGAAAAGAGCTCTAACAACACTGTGTAGGGAGAAAAGATAAAAGGGAAAAAGCATTCCTTAAGGAGTCTTTTTTTTTAAATGGAGAATGTAGTCGAAACCCCATGGTCAAACCAAATCCTATAAGACATGGCTGAGTCTCTTTAAATGTTCACTCTTCTAAATCAGGACTTTGCAGTTCAGCATTGGTACCATGCAACATCTTCATCGCATTTATCCTCCTGGGTCAGTCTCTGTGCCTTACGGCTGGGCTGCACACGCTCAGCCTTTCTCACAGCCCTTGCTCAGGAGCTTGGAGCATTTTGGTGTGCCTGCTAGAGCAACAAGGCATCTGTTTACATGGGTCAGCCTTGGGAGACTGCAGGTTCCACAGGTCTCCGTCATGCTGCTATCATATTCAAAGACAGAATGAAGCTTGCTGAGACTGTATCTCTCAGGGCTAACACCTCCCCTCTGAAGGACAGACCTTCCCTGATAACCACTGCCCTGTGGCACCACGACCAAGTCCTTTTATTGCCCCTATTGCTGGTTTTTGCCTGCTATGTGCCCTGAGGCATTCCCCAACCCTGCAACCCTGCAACTGCCCTCAGCCCTTTGCATTGTGTGATGTGCACTTGCTTCCAGCACAACCCTTTAGAGCCCTTTAGGGTTCCTGAGAGGGAGGGAGATGAATTTAAATGTTAACTACACCCAGTGCTTCCTCCAAATACAGACAGAAGCACAAGCCAAGTGTTTTTCACTGCACACAGGAGTTGGTTGCACAAATAGCTGTTTTGGCATGACAGTACAGGACCATAAAATGGCAATTTTTTGGCTTCTCCTCTCTATGTTTTGTGCTCATATATTTTATTAGGGGAATAAAGTAGAAAGGGTGGGGAAAGTTACCTGTGTGTGTAGAGTCATTATCAGGAAGGCTGAATGGATTAAGGAAATGCACATGTGGCTATCATAGAAAATTGAACACTAACTCTTCTGAACCACAGTCCCTTAAGCAGGTTATGACCATGGGGCATGTTTGTTGGCTTGTTATGGAATATGATGGACGTCCTGACGGTATGTATTAACCGCAGATTGGGCTGGCTCTCCCTATCTGGTCTCATGTTCAGACCTTTGCTTCAGCAAGAAGGTTTTCCTTGTGCCCTCATTGGAGGTTATGCTGTGGTGACTTCCCAGGAAGGTGTATAGATACATGGCCATTCTGGCACTGCTCTCCTTAAACCAGTCTCTGCTGCCATGGCCCAGAGAAGGCAAAAGCAAAGAGCATGGATCCTGACTCTCTGTCACAGCATTATAAAGCCCTAAAATCTACAGAGCTGCTGGACACTCTCTTAACTGCAGATTGCTTGCAATAAAGCAAATCATTCCTTGTTCCAGTCTTCGCACCAAACCAGATGATCTTCTCAGGCCCCATTTTCAGTCCAAAGTCGTACAGAATACCAAGGGGAGGAGCTCCACAGAGTATGAAAGGCTGCACTGCTGTCCATCTAAATTACCATGCAAATAGGATAGCTTCCTTATATTGATGCTGGTGCCTCCACAAAGGAATTTGCATTTGATGCCTCCTAAAGCCAGACTGGCTTTTTGTTAGGATTTTATGTAATTTTAGTCACCAAATTACCTGAGTTTAAGCAAATCCTTTCCTTTTATCAGATGTTAATTTTGCCCTTTAATGTGAGCTGACTTTGGACTCCAGGGTCTCAGCACTCTATCTCTGCAGTCAGTCTGCAAACTCCCTGTTTCCAGATGTCTGTGTGAGAGGGAATATCCTAGTGTTGAGGAAGGTCTCTAGATAGGATGGTCTAGTCTGCTTTTCTGGTGGTTGTATAATAACCTTTGGCTGAAAGAAGGCTGATGTCTAGGCAACCATCCCAAAGGCTTATTTGATGTCTTATCAGACATATCTTGAAGCCAACCCTTGGAAGAGCCACTGGATCATATCTGACATTGCTGCATGTCTATCCCCAACGTGTACGCTTGGCCATTGGGTCTGCTATTCTGTTCTGGCTGTCTTGCCTGCAGATGCCTTGCGACTGCAAAAGCAGACGGCCAAGCCTGCTGCACGGACTTCGAAAGGGACTTCAGGATGCTGTGCTCCCCCACAGACAGGATGGACACAGCTGCTTCTGGTTTGGCTCTCTGGCTCCTTTTGAGAAAGGAGGCACCCACTCTGCTCAGCTGTGTGCTGGCTGACACATTGGTCTGTGATCCTGAGCAGAATCCTTTCCTCTCCATGCAGAGTCTGTCCTCGGGCTGGCCTGCAAGCTGTACAATGGCATGAAGGAGGCTTGAAAAGTACAGCGCCCTGTACTCAACAGAAACATGAAGGTGCTTTTGAAGAAAGGAAGGACCCAGATGGGCACCAGATGGAACGACAGGAAAAGGAAAACAAGCAGTAACTAGAAAGGTTGCCAAGTGCTGTCTTGGCCTAGGGCAGATCCCAATTGTCTGAGTTAATCTATCTCAGTACAGTGCTGATACCAGCAGGGAGCAAAGCTCGCTTTCAGATGCACACACCAGAAACACCATGTCCCCGAGCTGGAACCACAGCCAAATACTACTGCAGAGAGTCTGCTGGATTGTTAGAGCACAGAAATTAGATCTGGGGTCCCTTGCTGCTGTTGGCACATGCTACATGTTTGCTCTAACCTCAGGCAAGTCACATCCCCTCTTGATGTCCATTCCCTTCTGCAGCACAGGGGAGAAAGCTGCCTTCCCAAGATGCTACCACCACCCTGCATGGATGTTGCCAAGTGTGTGGTGGGCACCATTGATAGGATAGCCCTGCAAGCAAGATGCAAAAAGCATGCTATAGAAGTTTTACGTGTATTTTCAAAGTACTACAAAGAACAGCAACGCAACTCTGCTTTCCCTCTGTTTACCACCTTCTGATGTTGCTTGCACATGCCAGAAGGCTGCGGGGTGGATGTTAGTAGAGAGATTAAACAGCTTTGGGGGCAGATGTTTGGCAAGGATGTGTTTCCCAGTTATTTGGCAGCTAGCTCTTGCACAACTGGCTTCTCAGTCTGCATGCTGCCACA